CACCTCACTTCAGCCCACAACCCACTTTCCCCGCCTCCTTTGACAGCCGCCCAGCCCAATCCCTCTCTCCTCCTTCGGCCCGGCCCACTACCTCCCCCACCCAATCCCCACCCGACTCACCCACAGCCCCAAACCACCCAACCACCCTTAATCAACACCCCATGCTCACCCGTTCCAAGGCTGGTATCACCCGCCCAAAGCAAATACTCAACCTTAACACCACCGTTCCTATCTCCCCCTTACCCCCCACCTACCGTAGTGCTCTTAAAGATCCAAACTGGCATGCTGCTATGGTTGATGAATTTAATGCTTTGATCAAGAATGACACATGGGAACTAGTACCCCCCTCTCCCCACCAAAATATTATAACCGGTAAATGGCTTTTCCGACATAAACTTGGCCCTACAGGTGAGTTATCCAGGTACAAAGCTCAATGGGTTGTTCGCGGTTTCAACCAGAGATTCGGTGTGGACTACGATGAGACTTTCAGCCCGGTGATAAAACCGGCCACGGTACGGATTGTGTTGAGTATTGCTCTTTCTCAGGGGTGGCCCATTCACCAGCTGGACGTCAAGAATGCATTTCTTCACGGGTACCTACAGGAGACAGTTTATGCCACTCAGCCCTCTGGTTTTCAGGACCCGGCCAAGCCTCACTATGTCTGGAAACTCAAGAAGGCACTATATGGTCTCAAACAGGCTCCTAGATCGTGGTACCACCGCTTTGCCAGCTTCATTCAGACCCTTGGGTTTCGCAGCTGCAAATCGGACACGTCTCTCTTTGTCTTCACTCATGGGACAGACACGGCATATTTACTTCTCTATGTCGATGACATCGTTCTCACGGCATCCTCTGACCATCTCCTTCAGCATCTCACACAGCGCCTCAAGGGAGAGTTCGCTATGACTGATATGGGCGATCTGCATTTTTTCTTGGGCATAAATGTACATCGCACTTCCCGTGGGCTCTTTCTTCATCAGACACAATTTATTCATGACATTCTTGAGCGCGATGGGATGGTCACCTGCCGCCCCATCTCCACCCCTGTTGATACTAAGTCAAAACTCTCCTCTACTGCTGGACCAGATGCATCCGACCCCTCCCTCTATCGCTCTGTTGTTGGTGCCTTGCAGTATCTCACCTTTACTAGGCCAGACATCACATATGCAGTTCAGCAGCTCTGCCTCCATCTCCATGCTCCACGAGAGGCGCATATGACAGCTATGAAGCGGGTTCTCCGATATCTCCGTGGCACCACTACATTGGGCATCTCCCTCACTCCTTCACGCACGGACATTCTACAGGCATACTCTGATGCAGATTGGGCAGGCTGCCC